TTTTTTTTTTTTTTTTTGTTTGGCCAATATTCATCGTCTTAGCGGAGAATGATGTGGTTGCAGGATCCTTGGAGATGTGTTTATGGGGGTATATCACACTGTGTTTGACTATGGTGATCTCAAAGTGGGTTTTGCTGAAGCTGCTTAGAGGCGTCTGCCCAATGCTTTCGTCTGTTTTATCGTGTCCTTGGAGACTTATTAAGTAGGTTGGGCATGTTATAGATGGGATTATAAAACAATGCATAAGATGCGACTCCCTAAATGGTGGTTTACCAAAATTATGTATTTATGTGTCATGAAGATGACTATGTCATGTAAATATTTTCCTTTCCGTTGAGAACCTTAAACGCCCAAAGGTTGAACGTAGACGCAATAAGGACTTGCTGAGAAGTCAAAACTCAATATAATCAAAGAAATTATGTGCTCATCAAGACCCAGCTTATTTCTGATATTTTAGTCGTTTACAAAACTTTCTGGACATAGAAATTGCTATATTGGCATGGTATGTGAATGTTCCGTGTGAAATGCTCAATTTCCTGAACTTCTTTTTCACATCACCTTTTAGGTTCTTAAGCTTTCCTCATACTTCTTTTAACGTAATTGAGCTAATCTTCACAATAGGGTATCTTTGATGTGATGAGATAAAATGGATCAAATAAAATTTGAAATGCTACTTTTATGGTGCCTATATCAAAATTTACAGGGTATTCATTTTTCTATTTTTTCTTGCAAACTTCGAACCATACCGCCCTTTACGATGGAGCGGTGTTATTGTGGTGCATGTGGAAATCTACAAACAGATGGATGAACAAAATTGCAAAAGACGAATTAAAGCCGTTTCAAAAACACCCTTGCTTCCAAATAAAAGTACTTGTACTCCAATACTTTGGTTCAAGTGCAAAAACTGCAAATGATGCACAGTACAAATACACCAAGGAAAACGTAAAATACAGGCCAGTTTGACTATAAGGGCATAAAAGGAACACCCAATTGCAAAGGGACTCTCCTATCTTCTACTTTTCTTCATCACTATCATTGCCAAAAACCGAGGCAACAGCTTTTTTCGGCTTCTTTGCAGCACTACCAAATGATATCTGTACAGCCAGGGCACAAGATTATGTTGTTATGTTAGATGGAGGGCATGGTGTACAGCAACCAGAACCAACTGTGTTACTAAGTTGCCATAATTAACATTCTTAACCGCTAACAGAGTTCACTAGCAGTAATAGAAAAACTCAAATTAACTGGTGTCAAGTACTGTTTGAAAGTAAATGTAGCTTAAAAAATAAGATTTGGCTTAAACTTGTGCTTTCAAGTTCACGTTGAGTTTATATTAAGATTAAGATCCTTCAACGGTGTACCTTGGAAGTGCTACTTTTCGAAGAAAACCCGAACTTTAAAGCCTTCCTTTGATCCTGATCTCCAAGTACAGATGCACTTCTTGCTTCAGCCGAAACTGGAGCAGAACTAGATTCCTCTTGTTGCTGTTGCAGCTGCTGCTGCTTGCGGGCATCGGCCCTATTAGGTATTAACACAAACAACACGATAATAAGGCAATGCAGCCAAAAAGGAAAGGATGATTAAGAAGAATATGAAAAAACCCTCCAACAACAAACGAAAAAAGATACAAATAGGACAGGGAAATGAGCAAAAAATTTGATACATTTGAGCAAACTTAGCCATCTCTCTCTCTTGACGTTGCTGTTCTCGTTTCTGGCGATCATCTCGACTGCTTGCACCATGCATTTCTCTCATTTCTTTAAAACGCTGCAACCCCATTCAAGAAAATTGCAGATTTTCAGACAAAAAGAGAGGGCACAACATGGTCAACACTATTTGCAACGGGTCAAATGCAGTCACTCACCTTTCTGTGGTTGTGATCGTATGAGCTAAGGTGCGCTTCAAATTCCATTGCTAACTTGTACTGTTTGTTGCAGAGGTCACAATAAAACACCTTGTGTATCTCTTTCACCTCACTTTGAATTTTCTGCTCACGTTCTGCTAAGACCTGGATTTTCATAATGTGCAACGAAGCAGGCAATAGAAGCCACCAGGTAATAAAAACTGCAGGAAATTCTCAAGAACTTCCAGAGTTGATGGTCCCCTATGATATATCATTGCCGTCAAAAGACACGCATATATGCTATATGCTGCCTTCTGATATTAGATTTGGATTCCAGAAAAAGGAAAGCATCAACCCCATTATTATCTAATAGTTTAATTATCTAATAGTTTAAGTGCTTATTGCCACTAAAATCAAAAGCATACCTCCCGCTTCTTCGCATGTTCCTTGGTCTCTTCTACCTCAACATCAAGTTTTCTTCGCTGAATATTTTCTTCTGAAGTAAAATAGTCATCTTCTTCTTGCTTTCCAACCCCTAATTTTGCATCTCTAATCCCAGATCTTATTGGTTCAATTATCCCTATACATACAACATATAATTATAAGCAAGATATGGAAAAACTCATGCATAAGACATCCATATCCATATAGCGTATCAAGCTGCAAATTAGAGAAGAATCAATGTAAATTTTCTCAAAAAGTACATTTCACATGCAGAAGCCCAACTTTGATAAGTTTTTCATACATAATATACATGAATTATCCACAAACAAGGAAAAGGAACAAAAAAAATTAAGCAGCAGCACCACAGCTCAGATGCTCTGCCATAGCTATAAGGTTAAGGATATTGAGTTCTAAAATAGAGGATGAAGTTTCACAACATCCTTACGATTCAGTATTTCAAACAGCTTGGGGAAATAAGAGTTCAAAGCTAAATAGTTGGAAAGAAAATTGTGGATGAAAAAGAAAATAAGCTTACATTTAACCTACGAAAGCAGCTCATTGAGATAACAGTAAAAGGAGGTCAGTCTTGGAACTCGAAAATCATCCACAATGATGACCATAATGCATCAGAAGTTGAAAAAGACTTCTCCATTAAGAAAAGACTGGCTGTTCGACTTATATGCAAGTCTATGCATGTACAGTACAAAGCAATTGAATTAGCAATATAACATACCTTGCTCGTCCTTCCCAAGACCTTTTCCTTTCCACCCCATTTTCTGCAGAAGCCTATATCCGACATTAGATGAATTCAACTGTTTATCTAATGATGCTTGTTCCACATTATCCAGGTCTACATTTTCGGTTGGCCTGTGGTTGCTCGGTAAGCGAAATTCCTCAGCCAAATCTTCAATAAGTGATTCCTCATATGCCTGAACCACATGAATAGCTGGTAGTTATAAAATACTGTCCAAAAAAATAATGATTGCAAATTATATGCATTCATATAAGTTTGCCATAAATATGACCCAGACTTTCAGCAAGCATCCAGACATACATTCAATAGATTATCTTGATTGGAAGGAACGTAGTCATACGGTTTCTTGGATTAGCAGACTAAAGCCACTTGAATGACAAACCAAACGATATACATATCCATCCAAGACAAACACAAGGAATAAACAGAGCTATGGGCTACCTGCTCCTTGTCGTAGTGCTGTTTGTCTCTGATGCCCGTCTCTTGTCTGCCATTGTACCAGCGGCGATCCATATTGTCACGCCTAAATTATAATCAAATCAAGTAGGATATATAACTTTATAATGATGGGCAAAGTCAACCATAAGTTCAGAACAAATGGGTGAATTGCAAGTAAACATGAATTAAATTCTTAGACCCATACAATTTAATAGCAGCAGCTACCACAATTTGATTCCTTTCACAAAATTTACTCGCAGGCACATTAAGTTCATGATTATTACTTCAGTTCATACCCAAAAATAAAATAAAATAAAACAAGAACAAAAATATAACATTTTTGTTCTGAAAATTCAATTACCCAGGCTCACTCAAAAATCCGTAAGAGCAAAATCTACACTTTATGAAAACAAGTTTAAGGTGACTAAAAATTCTGTCAGTAACCCCATATCCAATTCTTCTTTTCACATTCACATTCTTCTTTTCACATATTATATATATGTAACGTTTCACAGCAACCTGACTAGAATACACAGAAACCCTAGACCATCTTCAAAGATGGTTTCAGTTGCTGAGACAGTTTATTAACACAATTCCCCGAAATGGGTTTCCAAGGAAACGAGAAATTCCAACTGAGAAAAGAGTTTTAGTGTACAATCTAAGCATAAAAAAAGGAACAAAATTTAACGAACCAATCAAGCATAAACCCAGTTAATGTCTTTCAATTGGGTAAGGAAATCACGCAAAAGAAAATAATTTCGAACATGGAAATTCTAATCGAACCGGCCACAGATAAAAGTAGATCTGGAGAGCCGTTCTTAGCGAGGGGAAAAAAAATTATGCTTGATTTTGGATAATTAGCAATTGAAAAGAACAAAAAAAAAAGCAGTTACTTAAGAGAAGAAAAAGGCGAAGATTGGTTGAAAATAGAAAGAGAAATACAGAAACCTTGGGACAAAGAGAGAAAGCCACTTCTTCTGCTGCCTGAGGATCTCGAACTCGCGCGATTTGTCACTAATGGCGTTTTAGTTCGAAGGACTATGTTTCGTTTTTGTCAACGACAAGAAGCTATATATATATTTATATATATATATATTTTTTTTTCTCATATATATATATATATATATTATATATATATATTAGAAAACAACGACAAGAAGCTTTAAGAAGCATAACCCGGTGGCTGGTACTACAGTTTTCATGGACCGGTTCATTGAGGGCAGTACACCTGACCCAGTGTGACCCGAATGCCAACTCAGTAAATTGTGACCATGGATGACAAGTGTAAATGGTCCTCAAATTTTATTTGTAATCTCACTTTAGTCTGTAACATTTTAAACGTCTCAAATTTAACTTTAATCTACCGGTTTGTTTAAGTATAGTCCTTTTTTATGAGTTGGGTGTTAAAAAAAGGACATAATGATCTTTTCAAAGACTTCTTTCTTTTCTTTATGTGATGCTCTCTTTTCTCCTTTAGCACCGGAGTCCGATGCCACCCCTTGACTAGCCGTTGGACCCCTGGCCTTAATTAAGTCCCATGGCAATGACCATAATGGAGATGGATGACTTGGCAGGGGATGGAAGGGAGGTGTTGAATTTTTGGTGGACCATGCTATATGCGTCTGAACTTTGACATTACTGCAACTATGAGATCTCGCTCTTCTCACTACGGTGGTCATAGATGGATGGGTGCTCAGTGTGATGGTGGAATCGAGTCGATTTTCACTGGAGCCATGTTGGTGTCTTCAGGTGGTGTCACTTGGATCCTCACCAATCTGTCCTCTAGGATATTATTCTTTGGTTTATTGACGGTGCTCTTATTTGCATAGTTAGGGACTTTAGTTTTTTTTTTTTTTTTTTTTTTTTTTTTTTTTTTTTTTTAAAAAAAAGTTTTTTTTTTTTTTTTTTTTTTTAGTTTTTATTTTGATATAACAAAGGTAATGTCAATTCAACCGTTTTAATTTTTATGTCTTCATTGTGTGATAATGAAAGTTGTCGCCTCACTCTTCTATAATGAAGTAAATGCAGTCCACTATGTTTAATCCTATATAGTGTTGTGAGTGACCTAGTATTTTGGGTCTTTTAGTCTCTGTTCGACTGGTTTTATTCATTGACTATAGTAGTTTTGTCAAATAAGTTTTTATCGTGCTCAATTATTAATGTATCAAGTAGGTTTTTCCCTTTGGTTTTAGTACTCGTATTCATCTTTACGTCTTATTCGTCTTTATTAGTGGATTCACTATTGGCCTATGATTAAACACCCATATATACAGTGGTTATTTGGGACTATATCAAAGTGTCTATTGATTTATTTATTAAATATATTTCTTCTATTAAAAAAATAAAAATTAAGATTTCAGTATTCTAATAGCCAAGCAAGCATGACGCAACACTCGATCTCTTTCTGGCGAGAGGAGACCTCATGTAAAAAGACTATGTTCTAGGAGTTTTGGCCATTTCTGAAGTTTTGATTATTGAAATTTGAAATTGCATTAAAAAAAAAAAAAAACCAAACAAAACATACAGAAATCTCGGCTCAATCATGAGGAGCTAAAAAGTAAAAATACATCTGTTGACGGTGACGTTCCGACAACTCGTAGTTACCTCTCCAAAAACACTCACGGCTCAATGAAAGATGAAAACTGAAAAATAATGTAAAGGAGACAACAACTTTATAGTGGTTCGGTAATAATTCTTTGCCTAATCCACTTGTGCATGCATTAGTCTTTCAACCGGTTACAAACTCCTTTCTTTGCAATCAAATGGTGTCTAACCCTTTTCTGGGTTTTATTGGCTCTATTTATAGGCCTTTACATGTGAATGTGTATTCTCCGTTCCCAAGGAGGAAGCCATCCTCCGTCCTCGGTAATCGTGAGAGTAGGTGGGTTTTCATGATGACTATACCGGGAAATGCGGCTGATCCTTCCTATCTGCCGCCTGACCCTCTGACTTTTACAGTAGCAGTCGAATCAGCACTCCACTCCTCGAGTTGACAAGACAGCTGGTGGAGAGAGACGAGAGTGATACCCCGGCGCCGTGGCCTCCGGGTGCTAAGTTATCGCGCCCGGCGCCCCTTCCCGCACATGATCTCTCGGCGTAGATAATGACGTTCCCTCGGCGCCAGCGACAGATCTTCTGCGAGCACTCCTCGGTGTCTGTTATTCAAGAGGATGGCCGATCTCTCGACCATGGTGTAACAACATCCTTTGGGGTAACAACCCAATTCTCATCAGAACACAACCATTTACAAGGGTCCACTTAACTGCCTCGTGAGCTATAACATTCAAATCGCGAGGCATCCAGAAAAAAAAAAAAGCTACAAGCATCGATTCTAGTTGATTCGGGTATAGGTGTTGTCTAGTAACCCTGTTGTATATAGTATGGGAAGGATTTTCCAAATTGTTACCAAAAATATCAATTTATATGGTATTAAACTGTGATTTTTTAAAACTAAAAGGTTACTATAAAAATAAAAGTAATAGATTGAAATTTTTTTAGAGGTACCTCTAAACTAATTAAAAATGAAGATTAAACCATTTAGTTTTATATAATCAGCTTTTTATGTCGGAACGCTTGTGTGAACACTTATGTGTCTCTTAATTTTTATCGTAATTTAAAGATAAATGATATTAGACATTTTTAAAAGTGATAATTTAATTAATTTTTTATTTTTTCGTCTCTTGTCTTTTTAAATGAAAAGTGAAAAAAAAAGTCGGATTCTCAAGATTTTTTTTTATTTTCCGGAAATAGAGGGCTTGTTCTTTTGGAGTTTAACTTGAGTATAATTCTTGAGTTGAATTTGAGTTATAACTTGAGTTGAACTTGTGACTTGAGTTTGTGTTTGGTTGTGTACATTTGAGTTATGGTTTGAGATAATAATATTTTTGAGTTTGTGTTTGAGTGAGTCAAAACTTGAATTTATATTTAGATAGTATTTTAATAAAAACTCAATGCTGATGAAAAATTTTAATAGGATATATGGGTCAGGTTTTATTCGTCTTTTCGTTGTCAACGCATAGAAAAAAAATCATCTCAATCAAAATTAAAAGGAAAAAGTTATAGCATTTTTAAGAATAGAAAAAATAATATTCATAAATTTGAGTTCGAGTTTCTGAACTCGAGTTTAAGGAGAAACTTAGGGGTGGCAATTCGTGCCACGTGTCGTATTTTGATCGTTTTCTTTTTTTAAATTTATAGTCAACCCGAACACGACCCGTGACATGAAATTTTTTAAAAACCGCAACACGAACACGACACGACCACTTTACGAGTTGACACGAAACGACTCGAAAATGACCCGTGACACAAAATTGACCCGTGAATCCGAAATTGACACGAAAATTGTATACTTTTATTTAGTTTTTTACATATTAGAAATAACTTAAAATTCATAACACACTAAATTACAATAACATCCATTGAAATTAAGCAAATAATAGTATAAGATTTTGAGTATAACTATCATGATATCACAAGTTCATAATAAAATTTAAAATATGAAATGAAAAATATATATGTATTTTTTAGTTTTTTACGAGTTTCGTGTCGTGTTCGGGTTAGGCGGGTCCAACGCGAATTGACCCGTGTTTTTCGTGTCAATTTCAGGTCGACCCGATTTTGACCCAAACATCTTTTTTCTCAACCCTAACCTGCAAAATTCGTGTCGTTTTTGAGTTGTGTCGTCGTGTTGTGACCCATATTACCGGCCCTATGGAAACTTGAACTCGAGTTTTAGTCCTAAACTCGAGTTTGAACTTGAGTTTAAACTCGAGTTTAAACTTAAAAGAACATGAACTCGAATAAAGTTGTAACTTAAGTTGTATTTTTTTTAAGTTTTTCACTCAAAAGAACAAGCCTTCGATATTCTCAAATGATGCTTAAAGACCCTAAAAAAAGTGTTGCTTAAAGAAACTAAGGGCTTGTTCTTTTAGAGTTTAACTTGAGTATAATTCTTGAGTTAAATTTGAGTTATAACTTGAGTTGAACTTGTAACTTGAGTTTGTGTTTGGTTGTGTACATTTGAGTTATGGTTTGAGATAAGAATATTTTTGAATTTGTGTTTGAGTGAGTCAAAACTTGAATTTATATTTAGATAGTATTTTAATAAAAACTCAATGCTAATGAAAAATTTTAATAGGGTATATGGGTCGGGTTTTATTCGTCTTTTCGTTGTCAACGCATAGAAAAAAAATCATCTCAATTAGAATTAAAACGAAAACGTTATAGCATTTTTAAGAATAGAAAATATACTATTCATTAATTTGAGTTCGAGTTTCTGAACTCGAGTTTAAGGGAAAACTTGAACTCGAGTTTTAGTCATAAACTCGAGTTTGAACTCGAGTTTAAACTCGAGTTTAAACTTAAAAAAATATGAACTCGAATAAAGTTGTAACTCGAGTTGTATTTTTTTAAGTTTTTCACTAAAAAAAAACAAGCCTTAAGGGTGCGTTCGTTTGGCACACAAAACTCGAGTTAGCCTAATTCAGATTGAATTTTGAGCCTAATATCACGTTCGGTAATTCAAACTCAGACTCAAAACTCGAGTTTGAACTCGAGTAATAAAACATCAACTACCCCCTGATATTCCTTTAACTCGAGTCTGTCTTCTACAGTGCAGATTCTCTGCGCATACCTGCTTTTCACATGCCTTGTTACCGTTGCTTGCCATTCATTGTCGTTTCCAAGGTTTGCTGCTTGGCTCACGAGAAAGGGCCCCTCTCCGGTTCTCGCCCTTCGCTTCCCTCATCTCCCATCTGTTTCTAAAAGCAAATATTAAAGCAAAAATAATACCAAAGTACGCAATAATAGGCATCCCTTTAAATTTTATTTTTATTTTTTATTTTTATGGTTAAGGATACAAGTAACACGAAATTTTTAGATGTGTATGATAGAAGAATAACCGAATGAATGATATAAGAAGGTTTTTTTGGTACGTTTGTTTGACTGTATTAGAGTACGGTATTGTATAATAATATAATAATATAATATTTAGTGTGACTATTGTATTATATAATTTAATACAGATCTTAAATTAATACAGTTATATCATATTATTAAATACGTCTCATTTAGCATATTGCATTGTAGTATTTTATAGTAGATCAATGATTCATGTCGGGATTGTGCACGATTAGAGGTCCGGGTCGGGTTAACATAAAATTATTACAAAATTTAGGGGGCACAATGCAATTTTTATATTTATTAAAAATTATATTTTGACCCCAAAACTTTTGTAAAATTACATTTTGACCCCATAATTTTTATAACATTAAAATTTGACTCTAAAATTTTATAAAATTTCATTTTGACTGCAAAACTTTTGAGGAATTATATTTTGACCCTAAATTTTTTTAAAAATTGCATTTAACCCCAAATTTATTAAAATTTTACATTTTGACTCCTTATACAATACATTATGACACAAAACACAGTATTGTATTATGATAATACGACACAATACAATATATCTTATACAATACAATATAATACAAGCTACTAAATATGGCCTTATATTATACTGAATTCCTCTTTGGAGAATTGCACTTTTTTATTTTCCTCACTCACAGACAACGTTCCTTTTTATCTTTGCAATTTGAGTCTTTGACAAAGGTGAAGAGGAAGAAATTAGACAAGCACTTTTTTCCTTGAAGGACTACAATTTAGTCGTACAATTAATTCAAGAATACCATATATATTATATATAGACCAAAGCATATTCATACTCTGGTTTGATGAGCAGAAATGGATGAATTGAAAAATTATTCTGGTTAAAATTTGGATTAACTAACAATACTTTCCAATATAATCTAGTATTGTACCAAACAAAGACTAAACCGTATTAGCTACTTAATAGCCTATTAATGCTGTTTACTTCGTAATGATCACAAACTGGTTTTTCAACTCATAGTATAATGCCAATTGCCAAAGGAGATCACGTATAGTTTCATAATGACATATAAAATTTTAAAACCGTCATAAGTAGTACTTTTATTAAGATCTTCCTGTTGCCAGTCATTTGGCCGGTGATAAGGCCATAAAATCTTTTTTTTAAGGTGTCATAAAATCTTTTTGGCAACGGTTTAGGGCAAGTTTAACATTGTTGTACTGTTGAAAATTTTTATTGTTGTTGTATTGTTTGTTAGAAGTTGTTGTAACTAGAAGTATGTAGGTGCTTGGTAAATGTTTTTCTCAGAGTTGTTGCGAATACATGTAAACTATGTATAAATTTACTGTGAAAATGTATAATGATTAAAATAGATATATTTTAGCACACATTTTTTTAGTTAGTTTTATTTATATTTTTAATGTCAATATTCATAATATATTTACACAAAAATATATAATTTTAATTTATTATTTAAAATATTTCTACAAAAATACATCAATAAAGTTCTTATTTATTGTTGTTATTTTTAAACATTTTGTCAATTATTAAAAATATTTGAGTAAAGTTTAGCATAGTATACTTATTAAATATTTTCAATTTTTAAATTAATATTTAAAACATGTATATTGTTTTAAATTTAGTATGAAAAATTAATAAAATGGGTAGATAGAAAATTAAGTTTTATTATTAAGGTTATTTTAGTAAATTTAGACATTAACAGCAGAAGCAGCTGTGCAAAAGCAACTCTTGACATGCTTCTCAAATTTTATTGTTTGACAGCTGTTTTTAGATGCTGCTAGATAAAAGAAAAATTTACCAAACACTCTAGTGCTGTTTTTAGAAGCTGCTAGATAAAAATAGAATTTATCAAACACTCTGGCCTGCTATAATTTCTTTTAAAAAAAGAAGTTGAAAACAACCTCTAAAAATGATGCCAAACAGGCCTTTATATACATTCAATTAGTTCCACCGAGTCGACAGGGTACTGTAGAAAATTTATTTCATGAGGATCTATATGCCGCATGAAAATAGTAAAACGGAAAAAAAAAAATGCCAATTAACTGCTTGTAGAATTATTGACTTGATCATATATTATTAAGTCCTCTGCTTGTAAAAGTTCTGTGGCCATTCGTTTCGCTAGTTCAAATTATAATTTAAATTTTTGCTATAATGTTTTTTATCATAAAAACTTAAATTCAATTTTTTTTTTCTGCTACAGTGTTTTCTCTCGCATAAATTTATTTATTTTTAACTCAAATGAGTAAAACGAATGTAGCTAATTTATAAAGTATAGAAAATCAAGAATAATCAAGAAATGAGGGTCAGCAAAGCATGTAGGCTTTGAGGTGACCAAATACATAATTAATTAACTAATACAGCTTTCAATTGTATAAAAAGGCCACTAATACAGCTAAATAATATAAAGCATACACATGGTTGGAATTCAAATATACCACATCATCGCATATAATAAGTAGATTGTTAGTACAAGGTGCTTAATTGGTAGGTCAAGAGTATTGAAGTAGAAGATTTTCCAAGCTGATAAGCACTAGCCATTCTAGATCCACCTTTTTCCCACATACATATCCAAGATCAATCTAGCTTTTTCTTTCAATTGTTAACCACTATCCTGTCAAATGTTTGTTGTTTTAATTTTTTTTTTTAAAGAGTGTTGGATAATAAAATCATTTTGTGTAGACCAAAAATCACTAAATTTAGTGCTTAAATGTTGATATAAATCAATTACCATACAACCCCGTGTTTCTAGTTTTATCCATGATTCTGATCTTCTCATATGGTATTTGACATATTTTAATACACAAAAAAAAAAACCAATATTGTGATTAAGCAAAGCTTGATATATAAGTGGTGATTAGTGAATTGAAAATTATGGAAAGTATGTTAAGGGTGAGCAAAAGAGAATAGAAGTTTCATGAATTAAAGTAGGTATGCCAAACTCTAATTAGGTGTTTGGTATGAGGATTCGTGTCATGATTCATGATTTGCTACAGTATTTTCTCTCACAAAAAATACACATAAATAAAAAATGATTCTAAATCATAATTCTGAATCCGTGAACTAAAAGTACACACTCTTATTATTGTTAGCAAAAAAGTGTAAGATACCTTAAAGGTAGACAGCTTGCATGCAAACTCTTCATGAATAAAATTATTATTTGTGAAGAAGGAAGCACGATTTCAAACATATCTTTTCATGCTCCAATTAAAAGAAGCTCTGTCACACTTAAGAGAATTGGCAAAAAATAAACTACATTATAATACGAGTGCGCATCAATTCCCTTCTGTGGTATGGTACCAATTCATGAACCAAATCATTACACAAAAATAAAAGAAAATATATTAGGCCACTCTTTTGACTACCTACCATTTTTGGAACAGTCTTTACTGTCCCACCTCTAATTTCTTTATTAGAAATGTATATCTGTGTGCATTTATGTGTATATATGCTTTCTAATCTGAAAACTATACATACATTTTATATGCTGTCTAATCCATTAAGGATTTTTAAAATACAAAGAAGCTTCGAATAGCATGTTAATAATATCGTACTTTGTTTTCACAAGTCAGGGAATCATCAATGATGAATTACATATTTTGTAGTGTTGTTTTTGTTATTAGTGGTTGTGGATTTCACTTACTGGTATAGATTCATATTCGACTTTATATTAAGGTCCGGAGTACTTCAAATCCTCCCAATTTCGAATTAAGGGGAAAAAACATTTTTGTAAAAATTAATATATAAACCAAATATTAAGAACTATAGTCTAATTAAAGCAAATCTATCCTAAAAAAAATAAAGAAATATATTCATAGACTCTAAATAGTCTAAAGCAAATATATAAATACACTACATATATACAAAAACACATGATGTAACTATCATTCTATCTAGCTATGTACAATATATTTTTAGTCTGAATTAATAATAATAATAATAATAATAAAAAGTCATTTAGAAGAGTTATAGTAATGCCAAGAAGATCATGGGAGGAGAATACAATCAACTAGAAAAGGCATAATTTTACGGTAAAATTCAAAAGAAAACTCTATTGATCAACAATAAACATTTTTTAATCGTTAAATTTTAATCACGTTTACATATATATAATATCCTTTTCTTTTTGTGAATGGTATAATATTTCTTTTCACCGTGTCTTAACATAACCAGGCAATGTATAAGTGTCGTCCAATTATTTTTCCGCTATATGGATGTATTAAATCTATAGTGAAAGTTCCAATACAATTGCCTTAAAGGTGAAGAAAGTGCAAAGGAAAGACAAGCAGGGCAAACAGTGACTTGTCAAAACTGAACGATCATGAAGAGTTGTTGAAGAGTTAGCCAAAATATCAAAAAAGAAATCAACGGACGAGAACAAATGTGCTTTTGCATCATGTGGTTTCCTAACATTATTGCTCTCTTACCATGCAATTTCTTGTGATCACTACCAAACATACCTTTAAGGATTCCATCGCAACACAAGCCTACCTTAACCCCTATATATACATCACCATCATTGCTATTTTTTTATAACTCTCCAAGAGAAAGAGTTAAGAGAGAGAGAGAGATTAGTAGTGCTACAATTATTTTTACAACAAAAGCTAATTTCTTCTCATAATTTGAACATGGGAGGCAACAACAACAGCAGCAGGCAAAAGAAGGGCTCTTCTTTCTTTAGCTTGTTCAGGTTCAAGAGGAACCGCAGAGTCGACGACTACGCGGTGGAGGACATGAGGAGAGTGTGGCCTAGCGACGAGGACAGAGGTAGGTGGGTGGCGGAGCCCGGTATTGATAGGAAGGCTGAAGCTTTCATTGCCAAAATCCACAAGAACATGAACACTGCCACTGATTTCGAGCGCAAAACTATCACCATTCCTACTGCGGCGGCTGCTGCGTCAAAGGCTTGATTGATTGATGGTGTCTAATAGATATTAGAGTATTTGATCAGTTATTTTGTAATTTGTTCATATTATGTCATATAGTACTCGTTTCTGGTTTGTGTATTGGAATAAAAGATTTGTCCTTTTGTTATATTGTATTCTTGAACCATATTTTTGTATTCAGCAATGTGAAGTCTGCAATATCTCTGGATATATAGGCCCTGTTTGTTACCGTTTTCAATCTCATTTTTCACATTTTTCGAAGTAAAAAATTGAAAACACGTTTGTAAAACGCGTTTGGCGAAAATTTTTTTAAAAAACAAAAACAAAATCGTTTTTGTCGTTTTGTGAAATTTTGAAAACGTAAAAAAGTTGTTTTCATTTTCTCGTTTTCGTTTTCTGAAAACGGATTTCATATTTTCTTTTTCATTTTCTTCTCTCTCTTCTCCACTGCCCACCACCCCCGACTGCACCCACCCACTCTGACATCGTGATCTGGTTTCTGAACGGTCATCTTCTCCAGCGACGGCGTTCTTCTTGCTCGCAAACGGTTGTCAGAATGGCGATCTTAAACGACAGCTGAACGAGAAGATCGCGAGGAGATTCTGACCTGGATCGCGAGGAGATCGCGACAACGGCTCCAGATTGTGAGAGATGTCGCCGGAGATTCCCTCACTCGGTGGCTATCGTCAGTCGTCGAAAGCCGCCGCCGTTACTAATCGTGGCTGCATCTGATTTACGAAGAGAGAAGAATGGGCGGGGAGAGAGAGAGAGAGAGAGAGAGAGAGAGAGATGCGGGAGATGAAGGAGCACATCTCCGACTGCCCACCCAACCCCCCACCATCAACACCGGGGCATCACCATCAACACCGCCACCGTCGAGTACGACTGCGAACCGCCACTACGCCCCCGTGGACTGCCCCGGCCACGCCGACTACGTCAAGAACATGATCACCGGCGCCGCTTAGATGGATGGCGCGATTCTCGTCATCTCCGGGGCCGACGGCCCCATGCCGCAGACGAAGGAGCACATCTTGCTCGCCAAGCAAGTCGGCGTCCCGAACATGGTCGTCTTCTTGAACAAGCAGGACCAGGTTGACGACGAGGAGCTTCTCCAACTGGTCGAATTGGAGGTCAGAGATCTTCTCTCCTCCTACGAATTTCCCGGCGACGAGGTTCCGATGGTCTCCGGCTCCGCATTGTTGGGAATAAAACTACCAAACGCATTTTAGAAATAATTCCAAAATGAAAATGAAAACGTTTTCATTTCTATTTTCATACAGAAAACAAAATCATTTTGGAACCAATTCTAAACGCACCCATAGTTTTGATCAGTTTCTAAACAAAACTATCTGAGTCTGAAAATGGCACCAATGTTATTTTATTTTGTGAGCCAATTACAAAAGCAAGAGCTAGAAAAAGTGTGTTCGGAGAGGACATTTTGTAAGAGAAATTCGGATTTGGGAGGATGAAAAGAATATAGAAAGTAAGAAGAGGGTTTGAGGCGTATAGAAATACTTTCCTTTAAGGTTTTATTTGCCCTCACTTCTCAAAGTTTGCTAATGAGTTTTAATGGCAAATTACCCCCAAGATACAACAAACCCTTGAACACAATATCCAGCAAAAATATTGAGTTCCAGAACAATAATAATATATGTATTTTCTGAATGCATTAATTAAAGATAGGGATGTATCCATCCTTTTTAAACATTACAACCTTTCACATAAATATACCTTTTCCAATTTGAAGGTTATCTTTTATATGCTGATGCAGCTATAACAATAGTTATTTCTATTGTTAATAAGTACTTAGATATATGAGAAAACATATCACAAATGGATGCAATGGTTCAAGACCTTTTCAGATCACTAAAACACACGAAACACGTTTTCTGGTAGCAATTTGCGCTGCAGCGGATGACATTCACGCTGTAGCGCTTGGGCTTCACAAAATAGACCCGAGAGGTCTGTTTTGTGCAGGCTGCAGCGTCCAAGAGGCGCGCTGCAGCGCGTCCGTGCGCTGCAGCGCACGCTGCTGTGCGCTGTAGCGCTCGGGCATTACAAAACAGACCCGAGAGGTCTGTTTTGTGCGCGCTGCAGCGCGCGCTTGTGCGCGCCTGTTCTTCCCGAATGTGTTTTAGGCCAATTTTTGTGATATCAAAATTGAGAGATATATTACAATCTCTCTAACAATCCCCCACTAGATTGTAATATTTCTCCAGAATTAACAACGATAAACACATACATACATGAAGGTATCTTTCAATTTTAACCTTTACTTAGTGACTATACTTCAAAGTATTCACAAGACAATAGTGTGCTTTGCATTAAACTTTGTCTCTTAAG